AAGTGTATGTTAACTGCTGTATGGAAAATGAATTTGCTCTGCAAACTTTCACCCAAATCACAAAAAAAAAAAAAAAAAAAAAAAAAAAAAGGACCAGAATTATTGGTTGGATAGAGACTGGTGGAACCCCCAAGATTATGGCCCTAGGTTATCTTTTGGGCCTGGAACTGGACTCACTTCCATGTATTAGCTCTCAGCCAAACAGTAGAAAGACCTGCAAGCAGTACCCCTACCCTAGGGAGATGCACCCCTTAATTCAATCAACCATGAGATATCAAAGGGCAACATTTGCATATACCAGTAGCTGGACAGACAGGAATGCATAGAGAAGAAGAAACGGGGGGTGGGGGATGGCACAGGGTGGAGAATTTTATATTATTGGGATTGTAATTGGGGCCATGAAACCAAACGTGTATCAACTGTTGAAAGTAAAATGAATCTGCTTTGTAAATTTGCACCCAAATCATAAAAAAAAATTAAAAAAAAAAAAAAGGGAGAAACTGAAAAAGCAGGAATACCTCAACTCAAAGGATAGATTCTGGTTAAGGGTCGCATACTGCTCACATTGCTCCCAAGTTTTGAAATTTTTTGCCACTCATCCCTTAACTTCCCGATGACAACCAAGTATAGATTCATTTGGGTTAAAATATAGTATTTTAGTAATATTAACATTTCTTGAGAAAAGTCTATTAGTCATTCACATAATATTAGATCAAAGGAACTCTATTTTTCTACTTCCTACTTTGGGACCCAGAGCTAAAGTTAGTACTACCCAAAAAGTTTAGTGAACTATGATTTAAAAAGACTGTAAGGGCTATCTTGTGAACCATATAATACCTTATAAGACTGTGATTTAGAAAAAATATTTTCTGAATACCAATTATTTGGATGTGAAATGTCTGAATTACAAATAAAACTAATTTAAAAACACATGATCTTTACCAAAGAGGAAATTTAAATGGCCAGCAAGCACATGAAAAGATGTTCAACATCATTAGCCATTAGGGAGATGCACATCAAAACCACAAAGAGATATTATCCCCCCATTAGATCAGCAATGATTTAAAAAAAAAAAGGAAAAACAACAGATGTTGGCAAGGTTGTAGAGAAACTGGAATCCTCATCCACTGCTAGTGGGAATGTAAAATGGTGCAACCACTGAAGAAATTTTCAGTTCCTCAAGAAGTTGAATATAGAACTACCATATCACATGGAAATTACAATTCTAAGTATTCACCCAGAAGAAGTGAAGGTAAGAGTACAAAAAGAAATATTCACACCAATGTTCATTGCTGCCCTTTTCATAATAGCCAAAAGATGGAAACAACTGAAATGTCCATTAACAGACGAATGGATAAAGAAAATGGTGGTATATACATATATATATATATATATTACACAGCCATAAAGTTTGATGCATGCCACAACATGGACGAACAATGAAAATATTATGCTGAGCAAGTATAAGTCAGTAGCAAAAGGAAAAATACTGTATGACTTCACTTAACACGAAATAAGCAAGTATATAAAAAACAAAGATCATTAATGGTTATGAGGGGTAGAAGGGAGAGGGAAAGTTTTTGTTTGCAAGGCAATGAGTTTATGTTAATGGTGATGAAATACTTTGGAAAAGGATAGTGATAATGATGGCACAACATGAAATATATAATAATGTTACTGAATTTGTTGCACTGAAAAATGTTTTGGTATGTATTTGCACTGCAATAAAAAAAAAAAAAAAGAGGGGAAATTTTAAAAAGCTCACATAATAGGAGGATCGCCTGCATGCTGTCTAACAACTCTTACAACCTTCCTGTTATTTTCAATTTAAGTCTTTGCTCAAATATTACTTTCTCAATTAGGCCTAACCTGACCCAGCCTGTTTACAATTGCAATTCTTTGTCCCCTTTCACTTTATTTAACATACCTATAAATATAAATACATTTGATTTATCACGTTCACTGTCATTCCCACTAGTAAGTAAACACAAAAATATTTTCTGCTTTGTTCACTGAGAAACCCTAAGCTCCATACAAGGGTTCTTCTTGATACCAAATAAACTCACAGCAACCCCACATGATAAAGTAGAACTGTCCCATAGAGTTTTCTTGGCTATAAGTTTTATGGAAGTAAACACCAGGTCTTTCTCCTGAAGAGCCACAAGAAGTGACAATTAAAGGCCTACAGAGGGTAAAAAAAAAAAAAAAAAAAAAAAACTTTCCCAGATGATTTTTTTTTTTTAAATCACTAAAATTGGTCTGTAACCCCTTCCCTCCAAGCTAAAGGCACTAGATGAATTTTTCCTTCTTCTATTCTCCCTTTAGAATGATTTAAGAAACTAGAATGTTACTTTTGGATAGTCCAAATTTATGAGTGCTATTGTATCCCTCTGTGATAAAGCATCGCTTTTACAGTCAAAAGTACACAGTACAATACTACCCTTTTCGTAATACATTATAAAAGAGGTAGCAGTAAAAACATTACACGAGATGTCTGGAAACCAGGATATCTATGCAGCCAGCCAGCATTCATTCCACACTTATAATATGTCAAACTAAGTTTGTGTCCTCTCAAGAAACTTACTTGCACTAAAGCTGCAGTTATCTGAGTTGTAAAAATTAACTGTAATACCATTTTACAGATGCATTAAGAGTTCTGGACAAAATACAATGCTTATGTAAACGAGGGTGTAAAGACCAAGGACAAATACAATCTGATCTGTGTTTAGAAACATCACTGTGGCAGGAATATGGAAAATGAATCGAAACTTGTAAACCTAGATATAAGAAAACCATGGCAAAAGTCCAGATATAAGACCAGCTTTTACTAAAACATGGAGCTCTGGTGGTGTAGTGCTTAAGGCATTAGACTGCTAAACAGAAGGCTGGTGGTTCAAACTGCCAGCCGCTCCTCAGAAGGAAGGTTGGACAATCTACTTCAGTAGTGACACCTCCTTGGAAACCCCAGGAGGGGTCGCATCCAACTCAATGTCAGTGAGTTTGGTTTGGTTTGGTTTTTACTAAAAGGAGAGCAGCAGGATGCAAGAAAGGCAACAATATGAATAATGTGTCAAGTAGAATGGAATGGATAATAGAATGCACAGTGGTATAATTCATGCAACAATGGTTACTATGTACTTCAGAGGCCTGGTAGCACATTGGTTTAAGCACTTGGCTGTGAAACAAAAAGTCAGTAGTTTGAAAAAACAGCTGTTCCACGGGAGAAATCTGTGGCAGTCTGCTTCTGCAAAGATTTACACATCTGGAAACCCTGTGGGGCAATTCTACTCTGTCCTATAGGTTTGTTATGAGTCAGAATTGACTCGATGGCAGTGGATGCTGGGTGGGATAGGGTCACTGAAGACTAATATCATTATTCAAATTTTATAATCAGATTTGAGGCTTAGAGTGGCTGAGTAGCTCGCTCAAGTGCTTTCATCTAAGTATTGGGATAACTGTGGTTCAAACTCAAACCTATTTGACATTAAAACTTGAACTCCTGGCCTACAGCATGAAGAAAACAAGAAGTTAATTGCAACACACTGGATTTGACCTGCTCAGGACAAGTAAGAACTATAGGCAGCTGGAGATATTGGAGGCAATGCAGCATAAGACAGTGCCACTGAAGTCAAGGCAGTCAATAATGTCAAATGCCCTAGCAAAGGCATTAAGCCAAACCTAAAGTATCAACAGGAGCTCTGGTAGCATAGTTAGTGCCTAAGGCACTTGACTGCTAACCAGAAGGCTGGCGGTTCAAACCCACCAGACACTCCAAGGAAGGATGGTTGGGCAATCCTACTTCCGTAGTGATACTGCCTCGGAAACCCAAGGAGGGGTCGCTATGAGTCGGGGCTGACTCGACGGCATATAACAACAACAACAACAAAGTATCAACTGGCTTAGCACTTTAGGGGGTTCCTAATGACAACCTGGCAAGTCCATTTCCCTTGAGTGGCAAAGACAAAATCCAGACTGCAATGAATTTAGAAATAAACAGGTGTTAAAATCATGAAACAGGAAATAAAATCATGGTATAGATTTCTCCTGGAAAACAGCTATCAAGACAGGCAACATCTAGTGGAGAAAGATAGGTCCAAAGGAGGCTTTCTTTTTTTTTAATGTTTTAAAGTGGGAGACAGTCCTGAATATACAATATGAGGGAATGCACCGAGAAAGAAAAAGATCCAGGCAGACCAAAACTAACTGATGGGACAGTTGGAGTTCTTAGGATTAGCTCTGGAAAATTTTCTCTTTCTTTAATGCTGAAGTAGTGGTTGAGGATTTGAGTAGCACAGACTTTTGCAATGAGCGCCATCTCTTAAATCTACTGAGGGTTAAACCCACAGCAGGGAGGTCCTGAGGGAGGTTTCTGCGGAGAAAATTTTCTGAAGTTGATTCTGAAGTATATGTCCAAGCTCCTGATAGCTGTGTAACTTCTTTGATCAAAAAACAGAGCTGTCTTATCTGAGTCTCCTCAACGATCCACCAAAAAACATACGGTGAGCTGATGACCCAACTGCGAAATCAATCATGGAGTGCCTGACTCCTGCACTCGTCCTGACAGACCCAAACCTGTCCTGGCCAAGAGCATGGCTGGAGATGTGAGGCTTTCTGCTTGTGGGCAGCTCGGCCATAGTGGCAATTTTTAATAACATCTTTCCGGATCCGAAAGCGCTGGAACGACTTTTATAACCCAACTTCCCAGAGCCTGGGCGCAGTAACCCACGGGGTTGGAGGACGGCCGCCCCACGCTAATTACCCACTCGTTCCTCTTTCACACTCCTCCCGCACAGGGGCCGGCGTAGACTCCCACAGCCTCCGGATGTATCACTGGCCGTGAGATCCGCGCCTCTGGGACCGCTCCGGATGACCAGGCCCACGCAGTGTAAGTGGCAATGGCCACTGTGTGAAGCCTCCAGCACAAGAGTGGGTGAAGGGGAAAAAGACACAGGAAGCGCGCGGGGCGGCCCTGAGGGAGGCCCCGAAGGCCAGGACGTTACCTCCAACATGCCGATCCTGCTAGCTCCAGCCGTGTCAATAAGCGTGTTGTCCAGATCGAAGAAAACTGCCTGAGCTGCTCTCTGTCCCATCCTGCCAGGTACTGCCCAATATGCCAACTCGTCAACAACCACGCATGTGCACGAGGAGCCACGTACAAGATGCGTGAGGGTGGGGCCAAGCACCCCTAAGTCTTCCGCCGAATACTTTCTGGAACTCTCGCGAGATGTCTCGAGACCTAGCGGCACACAGCAGTGAGTCCCTCCCAGAACTCTGTTGTTGTTGTTACGTGCCCTTGAGTCAGACCCAACTGATACCGACCCCTCCTTGGGTTTCCGAGGGAGTATCACTATGGAAGTTGATTGCCCCATCTTCCTTCCAAGGAGTGGCTGGTGGGTTTGAACCACCAGCCTTCTGGTTAGCAGTCAAGTGCCTTAGCCACTATGCTACCAGAGCTCCCCCCAGAACTCTGTTGTTGTTGTTGTTGTTATGTGCCGTCAGTCAGCCCTGACTCATAGCGACCCCTCCTTGGGTTTCCGAGGCAGTATCACTACGGAAGTAGGATTGCCCAACCTTCCTTCCGAGGAGTGGCTGGTGGGTTTGAACCGCCAGCCTTCTGGTTAACAGTCAAGTGCTTTAGCCACTATGCTACCAGAGCTCCCAAACTGGTAGTGTCTAAATTGCATTGCCTTGGTATCCAGCTGGCAGCTCTGGTAGCCTAGTGCTTAAGCTGTGTAACTTCTGATGTCTTGACTGCTGCTTATATTGGTTTGATTGTGGAACCAAATAATATTAAATCTTTGACAACTTCAGTCTTGTCTCCATTTATCATGATGCTGCTTATTGGTCCAGTTGTGAGAATTTTTGTCGTCTTTATGTTGAGATGTAATCCATAAGGCAGACTGTAGTCTTTAATCTTAATCAGTGTGTGCTTCAAGTCAGCCTCACTTTCAGCAAGCAAAGTTGTGTTGTCTACATATTGCAGGTTGTTAATGAGTCCTCCAATCCTGATGCCATGTTCTTCTTCATATAGTCCAGCTTCTCAGATTATTTGTTCAGCAGATTGAATAAGTATGGTGAAAGGATACAACCCTGACACTCTTCCCTTCCTGATTTTAAACCATGCAGTATCCTCTTGTTCCATTTGAACAACAGCCTCCTGGTCTATGTACAGGTTCCTCATGAGCACAATTAAGTGTTCTGGAATTCCCATTCTTCTCAATGTTATCCAT